CACTTTATTAAATATAAGCTGTGTTACAGTATATGAGTAAAACAATCCCTTGTGTATCTGAAATGCCAAGTGTTAGCGCTAACTTCTTTTAAACTAATTTAGATATCTGAAAATATTAGTAAGAGAGCCCCCACTTTTTCATTATTTGAGTAATTGCTTTTTACTAATATTGTGATTTTTTTTTAATTCTTGATTTTTCTAGGGATTATTTCACATTTCAGCTGCTTTTGTTTTCTTCTGCTATCATTGAGGGTTCAAGAAAAAGTAAATGCTCAGGTAAAGCGCCTGATCTGTGATAGTGCTCGGCATCACTGGCTGGAAAGATGACCCTCCTGTTGGGATGCTTGTCTGAAAGTGACTGTGGTGACTGGACTTGTGCATGGAGCCTGGCTGCCTCTCACACTCGGCCGTTGTTGTTTTGGCTTTTGGAGACTTTTGGCTGTCTGCTTTTCTTCATGTTGTCTTGATCTACAATAACTATATGGATATGTGCTTGGACCTGCTAAAGTTTTAATTTTGCATAGTTGGCTGCTTAAATTGTAAGTAATCTTTTTGGACAATGCAAACTTCAAGAGCTTGAGAAGCTGTAAGTGAAACACCAATTTACAGAAGTTTATAATTAGCTTATAAATACATGTTCATCAGCTAGTACATATTTTGAGGTTTAATATTTTACCACAACTAAATTTGAAAATTCAAGAGCTGATTGCAGTTGGCTTGTGGCCACTGTAGATAGCGCAGATGATGCTGTTTCTTTCTGATAGAACGTGTTACTGGCTAGGATTGCTTAAGGCGGTTCCAGCAGCAGGGTGTGAGCTGCTCTCTGCCTTTATAATACATTACTAACTCCCAGCAGTGGGGTGTGGCCAGTCTCAAGACTTTCCCCAGGAGCTGGACGTTCAGTGGTTAAGAGTGTGATTCGTGCAGAAGACCCCAGTTCAATATCTAGCACCCATACCGGGCACCTCACAACTGCCTGTGACTACAGGCAGGTCAGAGGGCCAACACCTCTGACCTGAGAGCACTAGCATACACAGTATATGTTCTTTAAATATGTGGTCCTCTCCAGCTTGAGAATTTCACACACTTAAGATTGTCTGAAACTGTTCATTTGCATCAAGATTTTTATGCTACTTTAATGAGAAAGTTTTAAGAAATGGAATGAAGTTATTTAACAACAAAATTCACAAAGTAGGCAAAATCCTACTTAATTACCCAACCTAAATCCAAGTTGTGGTCCCAAAACACAACTAATTTAGTGTTTATGATAAGTTATTTAACTTCCTCAAGCCTTTTTGCTCCCGTGTGAATGTAGATAACAAATCAAATACAAGTAAATGTCCAAAAGAATGCAATGAATGCTTATTTGTATTGCCGTATGTGTCTGCAGTGTTGGACAGACCATCTGCATGTGATTGTTGGAGTCTGCCTGTAGTGGTGGTGTCTAAGATCAGCAGTATCTCAGACATTCCCTGGCAACATGGATTTCTTTGAACAACTGGAATATCAGGATGAGGAATAGAAGAAATAGGATAGTAATTGGCTTTGTTTTTTGAAGAAGTCCATAAAGTATTTCCTATTAATAAAACAAATTTCAGGTAACTTACAAAAGTTTTGTAGCTTACAAAATATTTTACAGAATTCTTTAAAATCTTAACTATAATATTTTTAGTACATTCTCTGTTAATATTGAAGACAAGTAATAGGATGTGTCGAAGGTTGACCTAGATTACTAGCAGAATGGAAATCTGTGTTAAGATTTCAGCTTACCTTCCCCGTGTCTTAACCTGCTGGGTGTAGTTAGGACTGTGCTCCCATGGCTGGCTTAACTCCAAGTCTCATGCACTTCCTACTCTTACCTGCTCTTTCTGCACAGCCACCCCACCCCCACCCCCAAATACCAATCTCCTTCCTCAGGCAAGTGTACATTGTAGGATCCCGAGAAACTCGGTATCTGTTACTATAATGAGATGGAATGTATCTCTGAAGTGATTCTGGCAACCCACCTCTTGTTAAACATCATTGTTCTAACTTTTTCCCGTATATGTATGTTAAAATTAACACATCAGTAGTAAGGCACCAGAGAGGTAGAATGGTGTTCATGCCAACTACTCCAGATGTGTTAGATCGGTGAGGAACACTGAAACAACACAGTTCAGTTTTCACATTACACAGTGATTTTTTTTAAACTGTAAAAATGTTTTCATGTAGATTTTATGAGAGGATTTTGAATTTTGAAAAAATGAACATTTTTTGAGAGAGTGATTATGAGGTTTTATTTCAAGAATGAATTGTGTCCTAACTTAGTCACTTACCAGATATCATTTGAGCCTTGAGTAACTGGAGTATTAAGACTAGCTTTTAATTGTCTGATCAGATAAGAGTTCTTCAGGACCCTTTCCAGCAGTGTTTGATCTTTGGCTTTAAGCTGCTGTTTGGGGTGTTTGTGTGTGGGTGTACTTGTCTTGATACTGGAAATATAGTTGTCATTGTACTGGAGCTAAAAGGAATTAGAAATCAGAAGAACTACCTTTACTACAGCATTCTGAATTAAAGTAGGACAGGCTTTTGGGTTTTTGTTTTGTTTTTTAACTAAACTTCAAAGTGTCTGAGGTTCATACTTGCTTCCCCAAGTTTAAAACATTATATTGAATTCTTAAAATATAATTCTTATTCTTATACTCTTAACATATAATTTATAGATTGGAATTGCCTTTGTTGTACAAATTTTATGGGTAGGATAAAATTTAAAAATATATTTAGTGAAATATATTAAATATTTTAATATATTAAATATTTTAAATAATATTTAAATATTTTAAATATTTTAAAATTAAAATATTAAATTAAATATTTTAGCTTTAAATATTAAAATTGTCATAGCAAATTCTTATTTTAAAGCATTGTAATAAAGACACCTGGTTATAGATCAACAAAGAAGTGTTAGTGAAGTCAGGTATTTTTCTTTGAACAATATTTTTGATTCTTCATATTCTATTTCATATTGAATCTGTTGCGTGGACTTACGGGAAATGGTTAGTGACGTTTGTTTCTCACAGGCTCGTCTCACTCATCTGTCTCTTCATGCTGAGTGGTGAGCTTGAGAGCTAATGTCTCCTGCACCCCGGATGCACTGTCAGTCAGTCAGCCGGGGAAACTGGGGTGTTTTAAGACGGATATGTGCTGCAGTTTTGTTTGCTTTTGTTCTTTGGAGATGGGATCACTGTGCAACTCAGGGTAATCTTGAACTCTCAGTCTTCCTGCTTGAAGCTTCTCCTGTGCTGGCATTATGTGTCCTAATTTATGGAGGTGTGTTTTCTTACTTGGGGAGGAAATAAAACCAGTGATGCATCTCACAATCAGTATGGGCTGCATACATAGAAAGTAGTGCTTCCGTTTAAAGTTTATTAGAAAACACATTCACACCTTTATTAGGCTTAAATTGGTTTTATTTTTGCAGGTAAAATCTACATGGTAGGAATATAGTATATTTTTTAAGAATTAGAAATCTTTATTAAGTGGTTTTCTCAGGTTCACAGTGCCGGGGATGAAGCCCATCAGCCTTTGCTCCTGCTGCTGTCTGTCTGGTTAGCACTTCACTATAGACCGCGTCCTTAAATGACAGACCAAACACTAAGACTTCAGTGGAGAAGAGAAAGGAGAGGTGGAGACAAAAGGGAAGTCCAATGTAGGGAGAAAACAGGAAGAGAGTGGCTTCAGTCCAGCGCCGGCTGATGACAGTGACCCCTCTGGTCAGCAGAAAAACAGTGCAATACATGAACTTGAGGAGAATGCTGTGACACTTGCTCTTATCCCTGTGTTAGCTGCTGATCACGATATGTTAGCTTATGAGTGCTGACGCTTGTTCGTGGAAGTTGTCCATGACGAGGCTTCTGTTCTCCGATAGTCTGCTGCATCGGACTGAATCAGTGAGGGGAGCCACAGTCTCTAAAGCTTCTGTTCCTACTCAGCAGTGATGGCATGCTGTAGGTTTTCAGCATTTTTAAAGGAACACAAAGGATATGTAACTAACATGCAAATTCAACCAGGACCCCTTTAAACATTAATATAGAACATTAAGCTGGGAGTAGTGGTGTATACTTTTATTCTCTGTACTCAGGAGGCAGAGGCAGGGAAGAAGGATTTCTGTACATGGTGTACATAGCAACCCTGGGCCATCCATGACTACATAGTAAGATCCTGTCTCAAAAATACACAAACAAACAAACAAACAAATGCAACAGTAACACGGTTTAAATGACAGTTTCTGGGTTTTTTAAAGGGACAGCTGATTTGTAGTAAGGGATTTTTTTTCCCTTGTGTTTTTAAACATCATAGAGTTTTTAAAGTACCTTTCACTGTCTGGAGACCACTTAGATCACTGTCTGGGGTTGGCATGGCATAGTTGATGGGAACGGTTAAGAAGAGCTTCTTTTTTGTGTGCCTAATCTCCAAAACGCTGGAGTTTTTAAACAAGAACATCTATATCCTTCTGCATCTTTTTTTTTCTTTTTCTTTCTTTCTTTTTTTTCTTGAGATAAGCAGCCTTTTTAGCAGTTTCTTTTTGTTTTCTTTAATTAAAAACAAAAAACAAAAAAACCGTAAAATGTTTTATATTCATGTCTTCTTAGCCATCCCACACTAATTTTTTTTGAACTGTCTTAGACACTAACCTAATATTGATACATAGGGGAAAGAATATGAATTTCACATTACAGATAACTGAGTTGTTGACTGTGGATCAGAACCTTGTGCAAGCTGAGAGCTATGGTAGTGTGTCCGTGCTTACTCTCACGCCTCTGTGAAATGGGAATGGAGGCATCCAGAAGCAGGTGTGAGGAGCGCTTCAGTCTTTGTCAGTAGTACTCAAGTACAGGTGCTGAGGTTTATGAGGTTGTGTAGGTGGAGGATACGGCAGTCATTGGTGGGTTTGGGTTTTGTCTTTTGCTTTTCAGGTTGATGGCTAGTTTTGCTGTACTCAATTCTTTCTTTCTTCACAGAGGATGTGCTGAGTAAAGATGCGGGGGAATGTGCAATATGCCTTGAAGAATTGCAGCAGGGAGACACCATAGCCCGACTGCCTTGCCTGTGTATATATCATAAAGGGTACGTGTGGTAGCTCTTTAATTCATTTGATAGCAAAGCAAAATGATTATTGTCTTAGTTCAAGCATTATAGTTAGGGCTAAAAGGTTTCTTCATGCAAATTCTTCTACTCAGGATCTTACTCCACCTCCCTTTATCTCTCTTGCCCAGATCAAATTTAAACATGCATCTGTTATACCTAATAGCTGCCATTTTTAAACCACTTAGTGTTGTGCAAGTGTTTTTCCGCTTGGTCAGCAGGTGTCTATGCAGCAGCCATTTCAGTTTACAACTGGGAAATAAGACAATGGGACTGTCTTATTGTATTTGTATTTTAAGCAAATGGCAAGCCAAGCAGAGTTCACGCAGAGTGGGACTTCTAGCACATTGACTCTAAAGCCCAGTTGTTTTTCATACATTCTTCTTGCTTTCAGACCAATTTTAGCTTAAAAAAAAACAAAGCCAGGTATGGAAGGGCTCTTATTTAATTCCACCATGCAAGAGGATGAGGCAGGTGGCTCTGTGAGTTCTAGGCCAGCCTGGTCTACATGCTGAGTTCCCGGCCTAGCAGTGAGACCCTATTACAAAAACAACCACTATTTAAGGTAACTACAAAAAGAATAGAAAATTAGGGCCTGGAGAATTACCTCAGGGATTGAGAGCACATCTGGGTCAGTTTAATTTCTAGCACCCAGGTCCAGGAGCTCACAACCACCCACAGCTCCAGCACTGGGAGAGGCTGTAGGTGGAAGAACCCAACACCCCTGCCTCAGAGGGCACTGGCACTCACATGCACAGACCTACATACACACACATAATTAAATGATAAAATATATTTAAATTTTAAAGGAATAGAAAGTTGTAGCATTGGAACCAAGAAGAAGAATAAGGTATAATTTTACTTAAAAGTGGGGGCTATTGCAACATGGAGAAAGCAGAGTGAACAATACAAAATGGGAACCCAAAAATAAATCCAAAGCAAGCATTCATTCTATCCGTAAGAATAAACACAAGAAGTAAAATGTTAGAATGTGACATTGATAAGCAACTTGCTCTAAAGCTGCAGATGAATACAGAATTAAAGGGTGGAGAACTGTATCTAGGTCATTAATGACTAACCTGTCAATGTGTACTGACATCACACAAAGTAAACCATCACAGGAAGCATTACTTAGACTAGAATTACTATGTAATGGTAAATACAGAACTCTTCTTGATTATCTATCTGTCTATCTTGATATAAACTATCTTGTTTATTTAAAAAATTGCCTGACTTTAAAAAAAGAAATTAGTCAAGATACAAAAACGTTGAGCAGTTGCAGCTTGCCAAGTTTTGACATTATTTTTGCAGGTAGAATCTAACTGTATAGCATAGGATAGCTTCAAAATGTCCTTTTAGCCTAGGCTTCCCTCACAGCTGTGTCCCCCCTCAGCCTCCTGAGACAGTGATGTTGGGTATGTGTCACTGTGCCTGGCTTCCAACTTTCCATGTCTGTTTTTGCTTGTCAGTATGGCACTAGAACTCAGGGTCTCACACGTGCCGAGTGTTCCTTACCACTCCTTACCACCAAGTGCATCCCTGGCCCCGGATTCAGTCTGATGGATGTATATGTTCGTGTATTTACCCAACAGTTACTGAAACATAAGGCATCTAAGATTAATAGACATGTAAATCATATTGTATATAGAAAACGTATTATAAAAATAATATGCTGCCCCAAGTAAATCCTACTTTCATGTAACTGGGCACAGTGTTTCTAAAAATATATATGGACTAAGAGTGAAGGACCAAAAAGAGCAGTGAGCGTACTCCTGAAGAATAACCCTGTTGGCACATGTCCTGAGAGATGCAGAAATAAAACAAAGGACAGACTGAGTCCATATGAACATGAGCCTGTGTGGGGGGGAGACCACGGCATGAGACCCAGGGACATGTGAGCTGCAGTCAGTGATTAACTCACTATGTGATCTTTTTGTCTCTGAATGTTTAAGGTAAGGATAATAGTACAAACTTATCTAGTTATGTGGATTTAAATGCATTAAACTTTGGGAAATGTTAGCACTAATAAAAGTTAAGTAAATGAAAACATTTGACTAGAGGTACTGTTACAGTGTTGTAGACAGAGTAAGCTTTGGTAAATGATGCTGGGATCAATTATTTACGGATACAAAAAAAACAGTTGAATCCCCTTTTTTAAGTTTAAAATTAAAATTCTAGGTTGTCCCAGGCAGCATACACCAGCTGATATGAGGCCCTGACACCTATACAGCAGAAAACTGCCTGGTCTAGCCTCAGTAAGAGAAGATGCACCTAACCCTGGAGAGACTTGAGGGCCCAGGGAGTGGAGAGACCTGTGGAGGGAGGGTAAGGAGGGTGAGAAATGGGATGAACTGAGGACAGACCTCAGACCAGGAAGGGGATAATGACTGGACTGTAAAAAAATCTAAGGAAGTAGGGAAAAAATGAGGAATGTTTTTACCTTTTTATAAGAACTTTCTTTTTCCTTAAGATATATTCTTCCTCCCTCCATGTCACCAAAATAAGCTTAAGGAGTGCTCAGAGATGGCTCAGCAACTGAGAGAGAGCCTGGCTTGTGTCTCCAGCACTCCCATGGTGGCTCACCTCCTGTAATCCAGCTCCAGAGCTTGTAACGCCCTCCCTCGTCTGACATCCAGGGGCTCATGTACACATGCCACACCTACGTACACTCAGTCAGATGTAAGAGATACACGTAGGAGGTGGATCAAATTGTTACAGATGGAAGCATATTTACATTTCAGGTAGAAATAGTGGGAATGGCTCTGAACGTGACAACAGAGTTTTCTGTTTGAAATAGAACAGTCCTTTAGTCAGTTGCTGTGGCAGATAATGTATGTAGTCAACACAGAAACATAGTGGTGTAATAACATGGAAATACTCTGTCCACCTGATACTTTTTCTAGCACCATAAGTGCTGCTGCGTAAGTGCTGCGGATGGGAACAAGCCATGCAGTGATGCAGTGATGCAGTGATGCAGTGCTGAAAGGGCGCTCATCCCCCATGGCCCTGCTCAGAATCCCATCAGGCTATGTGTTTCAAAAGGGCCGCAGTCACAGGTCTAAGCTTTATGTGCATTGACTTTTGTCTTCATGGCCTATCAGTCTGGATTCTTTCTTAATTATATATGATATTAAACTCATTAATATTCCAAAAGTACAGTATTCATTAGAAATCAACATGTTTTTGTTCTGGTACCAAATATGTTGTATGGTTTTCCTTTAATCTGATATTAGCCATCAAACCCTGTTACTTTTAGGTTTTGATTTTAAAACCTAAAAAGGTTTATTAAAAAGCATGCATCGTGCCAGGCATGGTGGTATCTACCTGTAATCCCAGTCTTTAGGAAGCTGATGCAGAAAGATCTCCAATTTGTGATCAGCATAAAATATAGCAATACTTTATTATTTCAGAATCCCTGACCCCATACCAGATAGATGGATGGATGGATGGATGGATGGATGGATGGATGGATGGATGGACGGACGGGTGGATGGGATAGATAGGTACATACGTACGTACATACATGCATCCTAAGATACCTGAGTAATAGTAACTTCTTGAAAATCTGTAAGAAAAACCAAAAGGAGGAGTGGGGAGACCGTGTTGAGATGAATTCAGTGAGCAGATGCACTTGCCCCTAGCCTGACAACCTGAGTTTGCTCCTCAGGATCTCAAGTGGATGGAGAGAACTTGCTCCTGTAGGCTGTGCTCACCACATGATCACCAAAGCACACACAAGCAATAAATACATAAATTATAATAAAACATTTTTAAAAGTGAAAGACTGTTAGCAGTTACGTGAAGAGGATCAGTGTAGTTGCTGGGCAGCTATAGCTGCCAGGTGTATGTTACAAGTCGGTCGTTCTGCTCTCAAGTCTGTGCCACAGCAAACGTCTAGAGAAAGCTACAACTGCCCACAATTGGAGGGGAAAGGTCTAAGGCATCTAAACCCGGGTGTGAACCAGCACTGGGAAAGCCTCACTGTGACTTTTTAAAAAGCCAATTCAAACTATAATTAGTGACAGAATTAATTTATATTTTTTTGTATGACCTTTCAGAGACTGCCCATAGATAATTGAGAATTTCTATAGTAAAAGAATAGATAAAAGAATAGATAAATAAATTGTGATATACTCTTTGTCATTATTTATTTTGAAACAGGATCTCACCCAACTTTTCTAGGCTGGCCTTAAAGCTATCATCCTCCTGCCTCAGGAGCCAAACAGCTGGGATTATTTGACATCAAATACATGTGCTACACTTACATAATGCAATACAAATTTAAAAGCATTTATGAGGAAGGCAAATGAGGCATAATATTTATGGTATCACTAATATAAAGTTTTTAAATATGGGGTAACACTATGTCTTTAGAATACATGCCTTTAGAATTATCTAGTAAGAAAATGCCTAAGAATAAAATGTACTAAATTCAGAATACTGACTTTCTTCTGGGACAGCTAGGAGAAAGGATGTCACAGACTAAACAACCAGTGAGGTAGTTTACAATAGAAACTGTGTGGATTGATATCAGTTTACATGAAGTTGGTTTTGAAGTTACTTACTGTCTTCCCATCATGACCACAGATTACATGGCTATAAAGTAAGACCTCATTGAAGCCGGCATAAGTCCTATTCAGTTACAGGAGTTACATGTAGCATTTTGTTTTAAGATGTAGGTGGGAGGGTTTTTTTAGGGTTCAGTGGTACATACCAGACTGAAAGCACATTGTAGCCACATGGGGTGTGATGTTTATTACAGTGGCCTCAGGAGTTGCTAAAGCATTTGGAAGTCTTGGCACACTTTACCTTTTGTTTCTAGTGTTGTCATCTGTTGGGTATGAGAATGGTGGCTCTTACTTAGCACTTTATCGGTAGCTAGCCTGGCTTTCTGAGCATGCAGCAGCTAATATGTGCCTCCAGGAGAGTGTGAAGCAGTTTGAATCCACTTTAGCAACTTAAAGCTCACGGCCAAGGTGCTTGTTCTTTGAAGGTCTTGATTGTGGATTTGCCACAGCACCGTGACTTTGAACTTTGTACATCGAGGGGAATGTGTTACATCTATGCTGAGAGTAGAGCAGCCATTGCACATGTCACTATTGTGACCACTCCAACGGGATTCTGTTGTCAACTCATCTCATGAATTTACATAACTACCGATTTGGGCAGTACAGATGTATATTAGGAATAATTATGGGCTGTGAAGATGGCTCAGTAAAGTGCTTGTCTTGCAAGAATGGGGTCTTGGGTTCAATCCTCTCAGAACCCACAACAAAAAGTAGTATGTGACCAGCGCTTATAATCTCCGTTCAGGGGCTGGAGGTGGGCAGATCCCTGGCACTCACTGTTCTGCTCTGCAAGCCTCACTACCTCACCTAGTGAGTTCCAGGCTAGTGGGAGGCCCTGCTGAATAAGAAAAGGTGGGCAGCACTTGAAGAACCCTCTGAGGTTGTGCCTGGCTTCCACATGTGTACACACATTCATATACACGCATGCACATACACAAGTCCAAAGAGGATACTTATATATACTCTGTATATAATTTCCAGTAAGACCATGAGTGCTCTATAAATGGTATCTTTGTCTGTGTATCTATGGATGTCAGAGCAGGATAGAATTAAAGGTTCAATAATTACACAGAAATGTGGACTTTTTAAATGTTATGCAATAATGCCAAGGACTAAAAATGTAAATCTATTTTTATTATACTGATAGACAACCTGAGCAGGCGTATATGTAACTATTTTGAAAAGAAAATACTTTTCTAACTCTGACTTAAATATTGATGAAATAAATGATAGTTTTCTGAGGGAATAGTTTTGATTTTTAAAATTGATTGTGAGGATTTTCCCCCTTAATAATGTAGAATAACTGAAGTATAATTAACGTCTTTCTTCTAGGTGTAATCAGCAAAAACACTGATTTTTTTCCCCCTCCAAAGACAGTAAAGTCAAATAGTAGGTATTTTTATTATAACTGTTAGGATATACTTATACACAGGATTTTCACTTTTCTAATTTCGTTCTTTTCTAGCTGCATAGATGAATGGTTTGAAGTAAACAGATCTTGTCCAGAGCACCCTTCAGATTAAGCACACCAGATTCCTGTGTTATGGGTAATTGTCCCTTTTTCTTTTAATTGGTTTATAAAATGTTATTTTGGATTACTGTTTTCATTTTTTTCAACCTTTTTAGTGTGTCTGTGTGTGCACGCACGTACATGTGTTTTCTAGATATTTTGTAAGACTGCAATATAAAGACTCATATTTAAGGATACACTATAGAGGCCTAAGAGTATTGCTCGGTGTTAGAATGCACATTTAGCTATCACAGCTGTGGGCTTAATTCCCAGCACCAAAAACCATTCCCAAACAACAGAAAAAAAGAAAACCAGCAGCTATTCTGGATTCTTGAATACAGTTAGGTATTGAGTAACCATAATATCTTGGTCCTTTAAAACACATTTGTTTATTTAACTAACGTTTAATGCTGGGAGGAAACAGTCAGACAGTGAGGTACATATCATGACCTCATTGTCCAGGAAGACTTCTTCAAGGGTCAGAGTGGTTAAGTCCCATGAGTTTAAAAAGCAAGTTTTACCACACTCATCCAGTTACATGGCCTGTGCACAACTGTCTGTATGTCCTTTACATCTGAGTCATGTGCTTTAAGGAAAGAGCACGAAGGGTGTGTCATGCGAGACCTAAGTTCAGATCTCTCCATGAACCCATGTTTTTTTTGTTTTTCTTTATGTTTTTGTTTTTTTTTTTAAAAAAGGCACTGGGCCAGTGGTACACACTGAATTCCTAATGCTGAGGTAGGTGACTCTCCAGAGCTTACTGACCAGCTACTCTAGCCTAGCTGGCTAGATTTAGTAAGAGGCTATCAACAATAAGGTGGAGAGTGATTGAGGAAGACCCGAGTTGTCAACTTCTGGCTCCCACGCGTGAGCACAAGCACACATACACTCTCACACACACAAGATAAAAAGAAGCAACGCACTCCTCAAGTCCCAGCTGCAAAGAGAGTTTACTCTACACACATGAGCTCTATTCCAGGTGTTTTCCTAGGGATTATAATTCTGGTCATTCAGAAGTATTATGTGCTGGTATTGTAAACATAATTTTCTGTCTATTACTCGTGATTGGCCATCCCTATGCTTTTGGTCCTGGGTTCCATAAGAAAGCAGGCTGAGCAAACCAGTAAGCTGCACCCCTCTATGGCCTCTACATCAGTTCCTGCCTCCTTTGATGATGAACAGTGATGTGGAAGTATAAGCCAAATAAACTATTTCTTCCCCAAATTGCTTTTGGTCATGGTGTTCCATCACAGCAGTGATAACCCTAAGACAGTGAGTGGGTTTAGATGACTGTCACCAAGCCTGAAAACCTGGACCCGAATAGTAGAAGGAGAGAACCAATTCCCATATCTTGTTCTCTGACATCCACACATGTGCCCCACCTCCACAGATAATTAATAAATGATGTAACTAGTATCCCTGATAAAGGTTTTTGTGGTTGTTTCCGAGCTTGAACCTAAGGTTTTAAATGTGCTGGCCAGGTGGCTCTTAGCCACTGAGCTGAATCCCCAGCCTGAAAAAAAATGTTTTCTGAATGAGGAGGATGCTTTGAAATACTGTCAAGTGTTGCCCTATGTCTGGATCAACTCAGTTATGGAGAATTACTGAAGCATTTTAGGAGATACATTGAAAACCAGTGCTAATAAAAGGAGAGTTCTGCTGGGCAAGGTGGCAGAAGTTCCAGGTCAGTCTGAGCTATAGTAAAAGGGAGGTATTTTAACTTAGCAGTTAATATACCAAATATATCTCTAAACCTTTAACCTGCAGATAAATGTGCTTCTTTTAGTTTGTACTAGCATAGTGAAGGTGGCCTAACAAAGTACCTTAAACAGCTCATGAACAAAATTACAGTTCTGTACAGGAGAAAGTCCTAGATCAAGGTGCCAGAAGGCACTGTCTTTGATGACTGCTCCTTGGGTATCCTTGGATAGCAGAAGAGTGACCAGTGGCTCTGTAGGGCCCTAATGCTGCTGCATTGGGCATTAGTAGACACTGAGACCACAGCAAACCTAGGCTTTTCAGTTATGGTCTCATCACTAAGCCTTTTTTGTTGGTATCACAGAAAGCTTACAGGATTTTGGAACACGTCACATCTCACCGTCACCGTCATCTTTGTGTTAACCTCAGACAACATCTCTGTTCTCAACATGTTAGATCATTTGTGTTAGCCGTCCTGCACACGACACCGAGCTTTGAAGGGGACTTACGTGGGACAGGTTGATCTTTCTACTCAATTGTGTGCAGAAATGTAAACAACAAAGTCTGTTTCTAAAAGCTTGAAGGAACTTATTTTAAGTAGTGAGACCCCACATTATATTTTCAGCATAAGAATTTAATTACCCACTCAAAATAGAGACGTGAAGGTGCATAGTCTTAATTGATTATGAAGTCGCTTACTCTTTTTATTTGGGGAGATGGTTTTAGGTTTGAGAGGGTGTGTGTATATGTGTACGTGTGTATGCTTAGTTCTCGACATTTATTGTGGAAAAGGAATGACTTACGTTTTTGCTTTTTTTTTTTTTTAAGACTGTCTGTGTTAAGCTTTACATGATGAGTCCGTTTCTTGTTTTATTCTACAGAATAGGTTATACATTTCTGAAGCAGTCAGGGGAGGCAGGAAAGGCCACAGTGATAAGTGCTGTTCACAGGGAAGTGGGTGGGTGCTGCACTTCTCTTTACTATCATTGACCATGACTTAGAGTAATTTATTTTTATACAGGTTTTCTTGTCTTTTCAAGATGCTTGAGAAATCTAGAAGATTTGAAGATCTGTCTCTGGAAGAAAATGAGAGCTGCAGGCTTACTCAGCCAGGATCTGAGTTCTGGGACACTTGGGTCCAGAGAAGGACAGGAACCACAGAACTCAGCGTACCAAACTTGCATATAAGGGATACACAGGGATTTTGAAATGCTGCACATCCTGTACCAGTCACTGCATAGATGACACTGATAAACATTTTGTATTCAAACGCCAAAGTTAACTCATTTCAAAGTTGATTTACTTTTTATTAAGTTCTGTAGAGCTGCTGTTTTAGTGTATTTGGTTTTGGTTTGTTTATTGTTTTTGTTTTTTGTTTGTTTTTGTTTTTTTTTTTGTTTGGGGACTTTTATTTTCCCGAACATAATGTTTTTTCATTCACCTATTCTTAACTTGAAAACCACACAATTTCTTACAAACTCTTCAATGTGAAACCAAGAAATGTAATCAAAGCAGTATAATATTCTGTGAATGGAGAGTATAATTGAAGTTCTTCCACCCCTCCCCCTCATCACCCACCCCCATGTATGAAAAGTAGGTTTCTGGGCTGGAGAACTAGGATGCGTTAGTAGTGTGAATTAAAGGGTAATATAAAATGCCATCCGAAGAGGAAATCAAGTTACATAATTACATTCAGTTAATTACATGTAGAACTGTCTACTGAACTGCAGTTTCTGAAATACATTGTTTTTTTCTAAAATGAAACTGTGCAATAGCTTGTTAGCAGTGACCATCTTGCAGCTATGCAACTTTGAAAAGTCCAGATTTGATGGTCCCTGCTCTGGGGCCACAGTGACTCTGTCCTAACAGGTGTCTTTTGTTCCTTTCCTGTAATTACTTCATTGTGCTTTGCATTTCCAGGCAGTTTCCCTATGTTTGGGTAAAATGTTTAGCAAGTTGTAAACATAATACCTTATGAAAAGGGTAAAATAAACACTTCTGCAGTGGGACTTGGAGTAATTTGAGGGACATTTTATATACTTTTAAAAATCAGAATTTAATTGGGATGCCAGATTTCTAGCAGCTTGCATCTTTAGTTTTCCAGATAAGCTGGAAGTTAGCATTTGATAAATGATTTTTAAAGCAGATATAAAGACTTTGTTAATTTATAATTTATTGTGTTATTACTGTAATTGAAAATGTTGTGGATACTTTTAAATTCAGTCTTTGTAGAAAGAACTGTATTAAGCAAAATTATGTGAATAAATATTCCCCCAAAATACATCTGATGGTTAAGAATACTGGAAGAGAGCTATCAGGGCTGAAACAATGAATGTCTTTTTAAATAATTATCAGAATGTCAAGAAGTGGAGTTCACGTTTAGTCTCAGGGAGAACATTGCTTCCCTGGTCTAGTGAAGGCTGCACAGTCCTGCTGTCCTGCCGAGCTGTCCTGGGTGTGGAAGGCGTGAGTCTGTAGTGTTGCTCTGCTGCTTACACTGATTATTCCCCAGGCCTGCTGTTCTGCTTCTTCCTGTTCACAAGGGCACGTGCAGGAGCGCCTGCTGCTATGGTGTGGCTGCGGTGGGAGTTGTCCTCATATGGAAAGAACTTACCTGCTTTCCTATGGTTGTGAGCTAGACAGTACCTCTGCAGTTCCACTGTGGATTACCTGTTAGGGCGAGTGGTCTGATCCTGTGTGACAGCTGACAGCACAGCTCTGTAAGTTTTCTTTTCAGCCAACGGTAGGAAGATTGATTACTCTTCCTTCCAGGGAAACAGTCTTTCCTTAGGTTTGTTTGTTTGTTTGTTTCTGTTAACATGAAATCTGAATCCATTTTACTTCATCTTTCAGTTTGTAAGCTTTCCTCTCCCCCTGATTTCCCCCAGGGAAGAGCTCTTAGACTGTGAATAACCACTTTGCTCTTGACTACTGGTGTATTGTCTAGAGAAGACTTATTCTTTCTGCTGTCTTCTCTACTTGGAGTGCCCTGTGCTAATTGATGTTTAGCCTCCCCAGAAGATGACCTCCTTCGTGCTAAGCTCAACTTCTTGGTGTCTTGCCTGAGTTCACCCTTCCATCACACTGTCCTCACACAGTCTTCATGGCTTCTGGGCTATGGCTGCCTCCAAGCTCCTGTGCTGAGAGAGAGAGAGAGCTCAAGCTCAGGGCTGCCATGGCGAGGATGTGGACACTGGCCGAGCTGACGCTTGTCTGGACAGTGCTTACTGAAATCCACTCAGACAGCCTGCTTTATTTTTGTTTTTAGTTGGCCAAATTTGATAAAGTTTTTACATTTTTACTTTAAGTTTTGTCTGCAATGATTTCCTAAAAAGAATAATTTAGAAATAGAAGAGAGAAGCTCAGATGTCCCAGTTTCTGTTCATTATTCTGGGAATGTTCTATAAGTGATACTTTATATAATATTGCTTATAATATTTATCAGTCTGTATACAGACACTGAGTAGCATCCATCATAAAATTATAGAATATTCAGCTGAAACTACTGAATATGGAGACAAAATAAAAATTGAAAGCCTCAGTTATCTGTTATCCAGCCGGTCATAGCCTTCTAGAATCTTTGTAAATACTCTTTCAGATAAGGTCACAGGTGTGTAGAGAATGAGGTACATGCTTGGATTTCTCCAGTCCACTCTGTCCATAGTGAATTTATTGCCAATGTTGATCCTGCTTCTACCTTTTCATTCCCTTTTTGGCATTATATATGAGAGAAGCATTGTTCTCTCTCTCTGAAAAATCATTCTTTCCTTGCCTCCTCTCTAGAGAAGTAGACATAATGTCTTTCAAACCTAGTTACAAATCAGACTGTAAGATTGTTTTAAGAAGATTTATGATTAAGAGATAAGCAATGGTCTCTTCGTGGCTTGTCTACATAACTGCAGAAACCGTGGTACAAAGCCCTGGTGACTGCTGGACTATATAGGTTTGGGCTTTCCAGTGCCAGTTTTCTGCATTCTTCAACTTTACATGGTTTATTCTGGTTTCCACTTAGATACTAGACTGCAGCCCAGAATAACCATCCTTAGCCTAGCTGCAGTATGCACGGCAAAGATATTTCCGCCTGACTGAATTGCCAGAAATGGCAGAATCTTTTCCAGAGCATATTTCATACTGTGTTTCTAAGTATGGGTGTGGTGAGGTTTCGGAGCACACATTTCCTACTGGACATGGTGACTCATGCCAACACTCAGGAAACTGAGGCAGGAGGATTGCCACAAGGTCCAGGCTGGCCTGGGCTACGTAGTGAGGTCTAGGCTAGCCTGTCTCAAAAAAAAAAAAGCAATCATTTTAATATGTTACAACAAGACATATTCCTTTTAGTAAGAAGGATTGTGAATTCAATGTAAATAGTATTTGCTTTTTCTGTATTGACTGATGGGAAGTAAGGGGAGTTCCCGCGCAGGAAGCTGAAGGTAAACGAAGTGTCAAACTCTTAAAATTCAAGACTGGTTGAGTTTGCCATCTGACTGATAGCCACACTGTGTGTTGACCATATGATCCAGGTAGCTTACTCTTCACAGAGGAGGTTCTGTCTAAACCAAACCAAATCATCAGAGCATACGCAGTGACTCAGAGGCAAAGGGTGCTGGTGTCACAAGCACTACGTGTAGGTTAGCCATGTTTGTGTAGGTTTGGTCTACCCTGGGGTAAACTCTGAGAGTGAGAGATGAGACATGGAGTGTCCCTTGTCAGTATACAGAGATTTTAACTCGACTTTAAAATTGTAGCATGTCAGTCCTTTGGAGTCCATTCTCCTATCTTTCCTAGAGTATATAACTTGTGCTGTTTTCTTAGCTGTGTGGTAGAACTAGTTACCTTACCTGTTTTACCCTACTCTTTCTCAGTCCCACAAATCCTGCTGAGTATGAATGGCTGTTGCTTGAGGTACTCCTGAAATCATTGATGAAATTGTTGGTGATAATGTACCCAACTAATACTTTATACCATATTCTGTAAATGCTAGGAAATAGACTTTTAAAAAAAATCAAAGAATTCTGTTTTGAATGGGAATACCTGATTTCCTAAGTCTGTTGACTTTCTGTGAGAAATAAAAGACGTTGAACACCAGAAATGTTAATATTTAGTTTCAGTTTAACATACACCATCACTGTCCTCACAGGGTTGTTATCAGATGTTCAAACTATTCTTAATTTTTGACCAGTGTGTGTGTGTGTGTATGTGTGTGTGTGTATGTGTGTGTATATGTGTGTGTGTTTGTGTGTGTGTGTGTGTGTGTGTTCATAGAGAAGCAAAGAGCAGTGAGGCGTAACTAACAACTCCACAAAAAAATGAAAAATGTGATACTGTAATATTTACTAACGTGTGTGTTCCTCAGCTTTGCCCCTGGGCCATCAGAATCTCAAGATTGGACATCAGAGGTAACAGTTCTCTTATCACTGTCTGCCCATGCCTGCCATTTCTGATTTTGTATGTTAGAGTTGACACATACCCATCCTTTATTTGGGAAGCTTAATAACTGCCTGCATTTTGTTAGCAGTAACTGTGGTATCAGAACTGTTTCTTTTACCAGCCAAGTTGTGCACTTCTGGCATCCCAGGACCCAAGATGTGGAGGCAGAGGATCACAGACTGGAAACCAGCTTGGGCTACACAGTGAGTTTGAGACAAGCCTGAACTCCAGTGTGAGAGCTTGTCTCAAAGTTTGGCTGTAGTCACGTGAGAGTGTTGGACGTAAGCTGTGTGGTTAGGAGACTCTGGTCTAGGACAAAAGACCGTGAACAGTGGACTCGGTGGCACTAAGTAACGGGCCATTGCTCTGCCTTGCAGATGACTTGTTACATGGATTTCTTTGCTTGAAAAATCACAATATTTACCTCTTGATTTATTCGTGGTTTCCACAACTCTTCTATAATACCTCTTAATTCCCGCTATTAGAAAGATTTGTTAAACAAGACCCTAAAAGCATTGATCATAAGAAATAGAGAAAATGTATTAGGAACCGCCTGTGTTAGTGTGTTCTGAACAGAACAGCACAATTCATCACTGATATTTTAATAAAGTTTCCAAGTGATGTCATTCAGCTCTCCTGGTCTTTAGAAGTAGACACTGCGAGTGCTCTCACGGGACGTTGTCCTTTCTTCTACCTTACAGCTTTGAGTCGACAGTGTATTACAATAAAACAGTTATTTGAATGCTCAATAGTTGCCATGCTTTAATTGGGGCTATTGCCCCTTTGTTTTTTTATACCCATAATGACAAAGCTAGTTCCAAAATTGTGAAAATTTCTTACTAGCTTATGGTAATGGACGAAAGGGTTTCCTATTTCCTTGACTGTAGGTAAAGATGTACTTTGAAATACCTCATGTAAACCTGCTAATGTTATCATTGAAATATATCTGGAGCACTAAGTACTGGACACTGCGGGTGTGCCCTTCGGAGACTGTTTCATAACTTGCCTTTATTTTTGGAAGCAGTTTTCAAGATTTAAAGATGATTGGGTTCTGTAGAGAAGTGATTAAGAAACCAAGCTTTAGGGCTCAGTCTCCGCGTCTCTGGCATCTATGGCCATGAGTTTTATTCTCTCTGCCGTGTCTTGTATGAGGTAAGGAGGTGTGTATATACGCAAAGCCAGATACGTGCTGCACGTAAGTGATGTTGACGTGTCAGACAACACATGTGTGCCCATGTATGTGACTCCCATCATATGCTTACCGCAAAAGTGTGGTGACAGGAACGTCTGAGAGCTGGCGTGCTAAAGGAAGCCATGGAGTGACAGCGTCTGCGCTCTGACTCCCATCCTCACCATTGAGTGATAGTGGTGGTCAGGCAGCTTTACATTGAGCAGCATTTGATTCCATGCTGTCTTGGGATCAGGAACACAGTAATGAAAGACAGCGGGCTTCTAGGAGCCTAATTTTGGACAAAACTACTAAGTAACCACTGTACACTAGAGAGTAATGGGCTGTAGCAGTCATGTTCTACATGGCGTGGACGCAGGAGAGATGCATAGATGACCCATGGCTGTCGAGAAAGTGGGCAAAGGGGTGTGTACAGTAGACAAAGTGAGGATGTTGCCCTTCACCGTCTAGCTAGGCGAGCAAGCAACAGATCGTGCAGTGTGTGTATATCTGCAATGAGAGGACTTGCATACATGTATGTCTGCATGAAAGGACAGTCATGTTTACAAGTAAAGAGAAATCTAAAGTAAACAAATCTCAGATAAAGTGACGGTGAGGACAGGAGAACCTGCAAACGCAGGAAGGAAAGTCAGTTTATCTCAGTAGCCATCTTTGTATAAAGGGGTAGAGAGAGGGACCAGGACAACTCATTATACTTTTTATGTATTTTGAAAGGTTGACTTTACCTGGGAAAATCCGATTATGCCAGGAGTATTCCTATGGAACTTTGAAGATGAATTGATTTGGGGAAATAGGGCGTGTCGAGAACAAAGCGAGACAGGAATAAGTGGCATTTGCTTCAGGGTCACAGTGCCTCAGGCTGCAGACATCATTGGCACTCTCTGGCTAGTTGAAGGGTCGGCTCCTCTAGCTTGGCTGACTTGGACCTCTCTGGAGGCCCATTGCCTTAGTTCCTCTTGCTTTGGCCTTTGATTAGTAAGTGCCAACATGCACCCTGAAACAACACTCCTGAGGGTTTTGTCTTTGTGTTCACTTCCCGTACCCTTTCCATTGTGCCCAACTTCAAATCTTGACAACAAAACCAAAGGTCCTACTCGATTTGGGTTCTTGATCAAATACATGAGCACCTGTGGTCCTGATGATGCTAGCTGTTAAAGACGGGTTAGGTTCTGCTCTGTAGAAGAACCAGAAGTACAGGTAGCTGCCTCTTGATCGTTGCTGTTGAACAAAGGACAGAAAGGAAGGACTGGTAAAATCTTTCTTGGAGGAGCAGCAACCTCAGGGGAGCTGTACGTGTCAGGAAGGAGGCCCACAGTCTTCTGTCAGTGCATCTGTGGGAACACCACAGCAGGTTTTCTTCAGAGGACAGGAAGCACCCCATCACAGGCCTAGGAAACTAGAAACTCAACCCTGAGAATATCCTTAGATGATAAAAGGTCCTAAGTTTACATAGTCCATGTAAAACGCTTTAATTTGTTTTCTTCAGTATTTAATGCTAATATAAAACTTAAAATTCTGTCAAATTGTGCATTATTCCTAGTAACATTTTCTGTGAACTCTTTTTTTTTTTCTCCCCCGAGACAGGGTTTCTCTGGTGTAGTCCTGGCTGTCCTAGAACTCACTCTGTAGACCAGGCTGGCCTCAAACTCAGAAATCCACCTGCCTCTGCCTCCCAAGTGCTGGGATTAAAGGCGTGCGCCACCACCGCCCGGCTTCTGTGAACTCTTGAGTTCACTGTTTTATGGGATTCAAATAGAATCCAGACAAAATACCTTCCCAAAAAAGTAAATATGAGTTTTTAGTATTTCTGATTCATTTGGTCTTTTCAGAGCTGAGTGACCAGGACAGTAACTGAACAGTGGCTGCAAAGTGTTGTCCATAGTATAAAACTACTATTTTGGAAAATGCCAAAGAACTCAAGAACTTCGTGTCATGAGCCTTTGGTGGCTCATCAATGCCTGGTGTGTAGAACGTTAGGCCAGGTGGAGTGGCAGACACTGTCAATGGTCTAAACACTCTGGGGTCAGAGGCAGATCTCTTGAGTTTGAGATGAACCTATTCTACATAGCCAATTCCAGACCTCATCCCACTCCACCCCCATCCCCTGGAAAAAAAAAGTCTTAATGCTATGGCTATTTACCACCCACACCCTCTACATGAAGGATGGCAGAAAGGCATATCATTCACCTGTTGTTAGAACACAAAAGCCACAGACAGCCCTAGACTGTTCAGATACACAAGATCCCTCTATCATGTAATTAATCTGACCATCCCCCCTGATAGCATTACTAACTTTTTTTCATCGTTGGAGTTTGGAACTGGGCCTGTTTTCAGTGCTCAGCAGTTAAGTAACCATGGGTTGTTGTCCTGGAAAGCACGGATTCAGGTAGCTCTACCTCAGGAATCTTTAATATATGATCTTTTTGTGTCTGGATATTTCTAAAGTCTTGTGAAGACTCCGACCATATTTGGAGTTGGTTTGGTTTAACCTCTGCCTGTGAGCAGCTCTTGCCCTGTATTGGAACTAGATGGAAATCGTGTCAACTTTTTCAGCAAAAGGATCTGGAGAAAGTGTAGGAAAATTCAGGTCCTCAGGTGCATTCACAGACAACTCTGGCCTTCATTGTGGCTGCAGCTTTTGGAGGTGATGGGCAGGCTTTGCTTAGTTGGTCTGTACACAGGAGCTGATGGGCTTATGAGGTCTGATGAACCAGTGTTTGTGAGCCTGTTTTAGATACATCACCTGTCTCAGGTTCTGCCTGGGCATTTTCCTGACCATGTAATTGTAGTTGACTTTCTATCATGTTCCACAAAACACTCGTTTGCATAGTGACAGACCACAGTCTAGCATAAGGGGCAGTCTAGAGCTGGCGAGCTCTAAGCATTCTTGAAGCTACTGCCCAGCTTGCCTAGGGGCTTGTGTTCCAATATTATGAAGAATGGAGTTGTGTTACGTTTAACTGTGCCCTGGGAAGAGGCATGTTAAGCTGTTGTGCCTTTTGATTCCTATGAGTCAGTCATTTCTCAAAACTTGGCCAAGTATTAGATCAATTCAAGACAGAGGCAGCTTTTTAAAACCTGTTAAGACCTCAGCTACCGCCATGGACTCCCAGCTAATCATGGGTATCCGTACTCAGGAATGGACTCAAGAGACCTCAGCCTGTGCAGCTACACTCTTCACATCTCTTCTCCTTTCTTCTGGTCATACTTCTCATGCTGAATGATGAGAAAACTGCTCTTGGTGATGTAAATTCTTACCCTCTTCGGTTAACTGACTGGCCAAGGTTCTTTGATTTTTGCACAGCCAAGCTTAGTAGATTCGTGAGAGCCTTTTTGCCTCCAGAGCATGGCACTCAGACAAACCGAGTCCTTTTGCTTTCAGGCTCTTGTCTTCTTCACATTTAATAAACTCAGCCTTGACCCTCAGGACTGAACAGTGACATCTGTCCCTTCATCCCGAAGCAATGACTCCAGCGTATCAGTTGCCAAAAGCAACCAGAACACAAGCAGTTACCAGGAATGAAAACCAGAGTGGTCAAAACTAGTATCCATAGCTGGCCTACTAGCACGCACCCATAATCCCAGCATTTAGGAATAGAAGCAGGAGGATCAGTAGTTTCAAGGTCATCCCTTCTACATAGCCAGAGGCTAGCTTGGGCTACACCAGACCCTGTCCCCGCAAAAAAAATTCCAGCAAGATGGAAAAGCTGCCCCGTGATGCCTAATTCATACATGAACCTTCAGCTCTCATCCTGCAGAGGAGTGTGTTGATAGGGGATAGATAAGAGCTGTTACACTGTAACAAAAAGATTAGGAATAACATAATAAGCATAAGAAAAAGAATGGGGCATGGTCACAACATTCCAGCACTCAGAAATCTAAGGATGATTGCTGTGAGTTTGAGACTGACCTCTGCTCTGTAGTAAATGCCAGGCCAGCTAAAGACATGACAAGACTGTCCCAGCCACAGAGGTTTGAAACTCCGTCCTCAGGTTTTGGACGGGGTGAGGGAGGGTTGTTGCGTAGGACACTGGTCTCATATGTTGAACCAAACTGCTGCACCAATGAGAACCAGTGAGAACCAGTGTGAACCCTGCAGGTGCAGGTGTAGAAAAGTGAGGCAGGCGTATTGGCCGTTTCCTCATCAAGCGCAATGGTGTGTCCTAATAAAGCTATTTCTTTTTTACATGTAACAGAAATGCCCATGGGAAACAACACCTAAGGAATTGGACAGAAATGGCACCTGGTGACTTATCTCCACAACCAAAACAACATTTCCATCACCCAAGTCACCTCAGGTCCCTTGAGTCGGTTCCCATCCATCAGTCCTCAGCCCTAAGCCACTGTTGTCTGCTTCATCTTGCTGTGTACTAGCTGAAATCAATTAGTATGGCTTTTATTCGGCTGTGATTTCACTCAGCATGCTCCTGTGAAAAG